GACTTTAAAAATATAAAATAAAAAATAAATAAAAAATATAAAAATTTCGGCGTTAATTTTTCGCGGCGAAAACAACTAAACTCATTTAATCACTGCACTATTCGCCGCGACTACCGCTCGACTCCGTGGCTTGCGCCGTCCTTATTCATGCATTTGTTTTGCTCGCCCGCCGCATCGTAAGTCGCCCGCGCGATTCGCTCGGTACATTCCGCCGGTCGCTTCGCCGGTCGCCGGTGCGCGTGGCTTGTTAGGTACATTTCTATGCTCTTATTTTAGTTGCTAGACGCTTCGCCGTTCGCACCGCGCGAATATTCGTATCGGCGAATGTCCCGTGGCCAGGCTGTAAGGTTTATTGGTCGCGCTCAAAAAGATCTCAATACGAACCACGCGGTTTATGCAGATGATCAGGCGTGCAATTATTATCAAAACGAATTTATTACTACCATGTAGGTTAACCTATAAGTTGCATTATAGTTTTTCAGTACCCCAATTACTCATACAAAAGGTAAGTACATAATTTTGGTCCGAAAGGTAGATTCAACACAATTGCAATTGTTTAAAATAACGTAGAACAGAATCTTGTTAGCAAACGTTTTTCAGACAAACAACTTTTAAGACTCATTTTATTTTATTATTAGACAACTTAAACATAGAAATCTAAGAAATATTTATAGATTGATTGATCACAACTTTAATAATAATCAACCCGAACAGAGTCAAATAGAAATTAGCTACTTTTGTATACTTTTAAGTATAATAATAATTTCTTGTGCTTTTTAAGTCGACGGTTTAGTATTCAATTTAAACGCATTTTATTATCAACATAAATATTTTAAATGATCAATGGTGCTTTCATTATTCTTGTGGTTTTGGTGTATTGTTCAGTACGTAGCACGGCCAATGAAATAAGAATATGTTGTAATTATTGTGAGAAAGAACTTATATCGTAAGGTACGTTGTAGATGTCTAAGGGCTCCGGTAACCGCTTAACAACAGATGGGCCGTGAGCTCGTCCACCCATCTAAGCAATAAAAAAAATGGTGGCAGCATCTTACAAGTGACATCTACAATTAACCACCGAGTTTCTCGATGGATCTTCTCAGTGTGGATCGCGATTCCGATCTGGTGATGGTAGATTCAGTTTCTTCAGGTTGAGCCCATGAGCTCACCGCGCATAGTTGTAATAGCTCCTTCGGAAAGGGCCCTAGGCTAAGAAAAAAAAAACTAAAGGAAAGATCGCTGAGTAGAACCTACCAGAGCGAAGGAATTTTTATTGCTTAGATGGGTGGACGAGCTCACAGCACACCTGGTGTTAAGTGGTTACTGGAGCCGATAGGCATCTACAACTTAAATGCGCCATCCACCTTGAGATATAAGTTCTAAGGTCTCAGTATAGTTACAACGGCTGCCCCACCCTTCAAACCGAAACGCATTACTGCTTCACGGCAGAAATAGGCAGGGTGGTGGTACCTATCCGTGCGGACTCACAAGAGGTCCTACCACCAGTAAATAGGTTAATTGAGTAGTATGTAATTGAACTGCATACGAGGTACGCAGATGTCTGAGTCGCAACTTCTCAGCCAAAGCTGACATCATCCGTCGTTATTCACGTCATAACAATGAGCGATAAAGAGTATTAAACTCGTCAAAACATGAAATGCGTAACAGAAAAACAAATCTATTCCTGCTGTATAAATAAATAAATAAAAACAACATGCTGTGAACTCGAAATGTCACACGGACATTTTCTTCGTTATCTTTATTTAAAAACTAGCTGCACCGTCCGTTTCGCTGGCCATTTAAAATAAACATTATTATTTCTCACCCCCACAACTGGTGTAGGGAGTCCACCACTCATAAATATTAGCCTAGCCATTAAGTACATGTATTTTCTACATGGATACGAAATTTCAAGTCAATCGGATGCATGGTTCATTATTTATAACGGATTATCCGTAAAAACCACTGTAGATTTATTATATATTAGTATAGATATATATAAATCGGTGTATATTCCTCATAGATTCCGTAACGGCTGATGAAATTTTCAGATCGATCTAGGCCAGTTGTCGGCGACCTTGTCAACTATAAGAGCCAAATATAGATAACGTACAATTGAACATTTATTCAAAGCCTTATTTTTAACTTATACTGTTATAGCCTTGTGTTTGAAAAATGTGTACCGGTCTCTTACGAGGAAAGATAATAGGTAATATTTCGTGTTTGAAATATCGCGGAAAAGCAGCAGACTAGGAGTCAAAGAGCCGCAGGTTGACGACCACTGGTCTAGCGGAAGTTCCTCTGAAGTTTGGCTTGTTTGATTCAAAGTCGGAACATAGGTCGACTAGCACAGCGGACCAGATCGGTGCATTTAAGTAAGGTAGAAATGAGGCCGTCAGCGCAAAAGTGACCTAAGCTTATCATAGTTAGTATGGAGGCAGTTAGGTTTGAATTTTCATGAATTTAAATTTGAGTAAGCAAGAAAACAATCCGCGCAAAAATAATGTTTACAAAGCTATCTGTTATCTATGGACGAAACTATGGATAGGCCAGTTTTGCATCAAAATTTATTATTATTTAAAAAATTGTGGGTTAGGCCACTTTTGCGCTGATGACCTCAAATATCAAAATACATACGTGAATTGAGTGGTAACGCAACCGGCCCTGTTTCATCAGCCCGCTTGAAGGATATCTCCCTATTTGTGCATTAATTGTCGAAAAAAACCAGTGCTATGTTATAAAGAACAATGGTGGAGATAACATCGAAGAAAAGGGTCATATTAAATAACAAATTCGCAATACTTCAAGCTTGTAACGAGACTAAAAACACAACAATCTTTTTACACCTAAAACCGATGAAAACAAAAATTATGTTTGGAAATAAGGAAGTTATTAACGTGATTTCATGCAAGACCGCGCGAACTATTTTTTTAATATGGCAACGACGCATTTAAATTTCGCTGCACAAACCAGTACATATTAGGTACACGATCTGTTGTTATTTCCCCGGTTGTGCTGGCATAAGCCCCTATGTTACCAGAGTAGGTAGGACTAAAAAACCTATTTATTTATTTATGTACACACAGAAAACAAGACATAGTACAGAGTAATAGGAAAATTATGTACAAAGGTACTGCTTATTTCTTTAACAAATCTCTTCCAGCAGACCTGCGAGACGATAATGAGAATAATAATAAAAAAAGATGAGTGATCTATTTGAATTGTATCTCCAATGCTCTTTCCATATTATGTCCCACACTAAACCTTTTGGTTATTACGAAGATGAGATCAGCCAACCACCGAATTCTTAGTGAATCTTGACTAGATATATGTTTTTTTTTATTCTTTTTTGTGACAGACTTTTTTTTTCCTACCTAAGCTGATAGCCTTGAGAGGCTATTTCAGCGTAACCTTAACTAGTAGGTGAGGTCGCGAGGTTCAAACCTGACGGCGTTGCTAACACGAACCCTAGCAAGAGCCGTGCTTCGCAGAGTCTACCACCGGATCGGAAACGCGACCCACTGAGAAGATCCGGCGATAAACTCAGTAGGCTGTGTCTGAGGGTTAATTTACTCGACGAGCCCTTCGTTGCAAGCGACGGGTTCGACGAGAACGGTGACCGGTGCTTGAGGTACCTAAAAGCACCGTTAGTGGATCGGGAGGATCCGAGATGACGTGTTTGGGGCGACGTCGACTGCTTTCCATTCTTTCCGCAGGATCGGGAATGTAGTTACCGGCGGCCACAATGAGAGGGTTCTCGTGTCGTGCCGCTTTATCGAAGTGGTGACAGACTTCTAAGTACATCGTAATAACGAATGTCGATTCAAAAAATCGAATATAGTCTCTTTAACGATTTACTGGTAGCCACTGTGTAGTCTGTTTTTCGATTGAAATCCATAACTATGTAGTTTAATTTAAGCGGTGCGTAAGCAAATGTTTGTTATGAAGTTTTTTTTTTTTTATTTAACTGCCTAAACTTAACTTTAAAGGCAAAGGTATTGGGTGAACAGCCTAAGATAATAACTATCACAGGGATTTAATTTATTTCATTTGATAAACCTAAACCAGTAACGTTAAAAGATTTCCTTAATTTTTAAGGTTCATCCTTAAGTTTTTATTCCGAAACACATTTGTAAATTAAGTGATTACAATTAAGAAACTAATTTATTGAAGAAGCATATATTGTTCAGGTTATGGTCAAAATTAAGAATGTTAAGAGTCTCTCAGTTAAGAACAAAAGCAGTCCATCACAAACTAATAAATAGTGAATCATCTTAGTTTGTATACTCATACTCTACTTAGTACTTATACTCTTGCTCTACTTACTCACTTATACTCACTAGTATTTGACCTTTTAACGTGTTTATTATACGTAGGACGATGTTTTACTGACATTAAATAAATTATTCTTAACGTCAAGAATACATACTTATTCGTTTATTATCACGCATTCAAGTTATCCATTGTTGTAAGCATTGGAAATACGAAAACTGTTAGCCTTGGAACTTCTTATCGAATCAACATGCCTACTAACAATCACCGCGAGGGCGCGCGCGAAATGCGACGTTGCCAACTTTAATCTACTACGCCTTAAATACGGACACGTATGCCGCCATTTTGTTTTATATTTAAACCTGTGTAATCCAAATTTAAAAGATTATAAGAAACACTATAAAGTTCTCAATTTGCTACTTTCAAACCTTCCTTTCCAATACGAGCACATGGTCCAATATAAATTATTCTGGGATTACGTAATCAACATCATGCCTCATCATGGTGCAATTCGTTTCGTTGTGATGACACATTTTTTGCTTGTCTAGGCATTTATAACCGTAATATAATAAAATATTTAGGAACTTCTTTAAGGCTTGCGCTGTGTAGGTATTATCAATATACTGCATGATTGTAGTACAGTCGCTCTGCCCATACGAATCATATGGGTAGTCATACCTAGATACATGAAGCGATGAGTGTCGGCGCAATATGTTTGTAATACGTACTGTGAGCTGGGTGACAGCCCGGGCTGGGTGTGGGGTGCACACCCTGAGGATCCAGGGTAGCATTTATGCCGTCCTGCGACCACACACACCACATTTTTAACGCAATTATCACAGTATTGATCACGCACAGACGCCATTTTGAACCGACACTGAGCTCGGTCGCAGAGGCGACGTTGCCACGTCGCACGCTCCAAGCCGCGCTTCTATTTCAGGCCCTCCCTCCCCTCCCCCACCCCGCAGCGCCGTGACGCTCGAGCTCCAAGCAAGGCTCCACAAAACACTATCTATCTTATAATGTTATCATCATACAGTCCCGCGTATTTTTCTTATTTGAAAACATAATGTAGATCATGTGGTTTTCTGTATATGGAGAGGGAAGGGTGGTGACTGCAATACATGTAACGTAACAATTCATGAAACGATAAGATATTAGGTATAGTGTTGAAAAGCTGATTTAATGTAGAATTTATACATAAATTGTAAAATGTCGAGCGAACGGCCGGCTTTCACCGAGGCGCGGCCGCGCACGACCGTACCGACATGTGCCATTGGCCACCGCAGAGATCGATAGACAAACAGCGACGAGGACGCCGACCTGCGCTCGACTTTCATGTTACGTGCCAACGGGATAAAGACGAGAATTCCGTAGCTATCTGTATAAACAAACTACACCACGAACACACTGACGTCCTCCACGTAGATACGCACAAACACAGGCGCTGTAAGAACGACGACGCGAGCGAATGGCCCAACCTAATAATGTATATCAATATCATCAATGTATTATGGCGCTTTTCTAGAGTCGAAATTCCTTTACGTTCGCGCATCGAGCGCTCCCTACCGAAGGACAAAGGAGGATTTCACACGGAAAACAAAGGGAAATGCCGGTTACATGATAATAACAAGAACATCTAGATATTTATTTCTGTTATAGTTAGCGCGCTTGATGTTGCCAGGTCGTCTGAAACTGGCCAGCGCGCCATTTACCATTATGAAATTGAGATTTTCTAACTGCACATAACACGTTCAAGTGATAAGAGGAATTCTTTGCAACGTTACATAAATAGAAGTTACATTGGTCTAATTATGCGTGCGGCAAAAGGTTAACGTATGGTATCTGAACAGGTGCGGGCCAATGCGTATAACTAGTCTGCAAAGGGTGCTTTGTAGGTATATTTCTATAAAAGGTGAGATAAAAAGCAAAACAAAATAGATAAATGGTATAGACAATTAGCTTTGAATGGCAGACGCAATCTGACAACCAGTCACTCACCTCTTTGGATGCTCGAATTTCTCGGTTTTCTACGAATAAATCACAGGAACGTCACTTCTCGACGTAATAGCAAACGTTTTTAAGGTATCTTTAAGATTTTAAAGAATTTCAAATGCATAGAATAATTTAACATTACGTTGAGCAAACGTCCTACGTCGACAGAGACCGAATGCGAACTGTTGGTTTTTGTTGGTTTGGGTTGGCGGCTGACGCCCGGGGCTAGGACAGAGGGCCGCGGGGAGGACGCAAAACCGGAGAACGGACGATCGAGAACTCAGAAACGTAAACGCGTTATTACTAATGAAAAAAAACGTACACAAAATCAACCAATTCTGTTGTACCATTTAAATTATGTCATTGTCTGAAGAGTTCTATTGTAGGTATATAAGTTTTTGAAAAAATCATTAGTGCAGGTTGTTGCACCCACGCGGACCTGTGCAAAGCGATAGTTTTGTAAATATACGTCTACAATAATATATATTGAGTACTTATATAAACACATATTGTGTATGAATGATATATTTTATGTAGTAGGTAATCGATAGGCAAATTTTTAATTGCCATTTTTTTAAGTATATTGCCGTAGAACCATTACATACCTATACTTTATACCTACTAATATCTACAAAATGTAATAAACTATAGTCTTCAAAATATTGACGCAACGTTAAGCATGCTGTATGCTTTAATGTTAGGAAATTAATATTTTTACGAAAACTGTAGATAGACACCTTTATCACCAAATATATTGTCATCGTTGATTGTTTTCTTCAATCAATGTTGAAGACAAATTAAGTTCAATGAGGAAAAATTAGGAGATAATGCAGTAAAATATGATAGTCCCTTTCCATGGGCAAACAATACCGAAAACTTTTCATTTGTATTTGATTGCTTAATAGTTTCATCGACCAATACGGACGGTCTGATTTTTTTCTACTGGCCAATAATATTAAAGATCGTGTAATTGTCAAAAAGAAGATTAATTTTAACACACGTCTGTAATTTTCATCGCATTTATCGTTAATTCGTCGCAATTTAAAGAAGAATTCAAGAACTTTTAATACAACAATGAGATTGAATAGTTTAATTTTTGCATTTGTGATTTTATTCAGTGTTGTTTCAGCAAGAATCGACCCTAAAAACTTAAAATGTTTGGGTGTGTACTACGTGTTTTCTGTTTTTTTTAAATTATTTAGTTAATATGATAATTTAATATTTATTTGATATAAATTATATAATTTTTCTAGTTTGTCGGACGACGTTTGAGGAGCTTCACCAGGTGATAAAAAGCATAGATAAATGGAAAAGAGTCGATGTGAGTAATTTTAAACTTTAAAATAAAAATATAAAAAATCTGCACCTAAAACTTTTCTTTTACATTTTTCAAGATTGATTTAATTTGTTAAACATTTAAACATTTTTGCTTGTATGTTTTCAAATAATCTTATACAAATTTAACATGAATCTTTCCTTTAGCATCTAAAATATGAGAAAAACTTAAGCACGACAGTTAAAATTATTACGAAAAAAATAATTTAATTATAACTTGTTTCTACTATATTTCACTATAACTATATTTCAAGTAAATGTTGACAGTCACACTAAAATAGTCATAACTTTCTCCAGTACAAAGTGTGGTTTCAAAATGAAGTGTAATTAATAATTATGAGCTTTATTTTTCCAAATATTCACTTTGTAATCCAGAATTAATAAACTACATATCATTTTCCTTGGCTAAAGAGTTACTTGTGTCACTCTCTGTTCCATAAACAACCAGTTGGCTTAACACGAACCATAGGAGAATATACTGTAATATTTATTTAGAAGATATATTAAGACTTAACTGGATCATGTCATTTACCACATTGTCCTACATATTAATGTAGGTTATGGACTATCTTTGTGTTCAATTTTATTCAAAATTGTTCAACAGTTTTTGATTCAATACAAGCAAACATATTTAGAATATTGACTAACACATTCGTCAAGTACATAGCAGCTGACTATACAATACTTTTGCTACTGAGGTGATTTTAATTTTAATACTGATAAAAACATATATCCAACATGCCTGTGTGGGATATGCGGTAGTAACTTATGCTGTGCCTGTTGTGTTTCCTGTTTTCTTCTTTTTGCTGTTACCTGATTAAATAGTATTGTGGCAGCATATCCTCTTTTCCAATTCAGGCATATCATACCTCATCTTTGCACTCATACCAACCCATACCAACTGAATACTGAATACCCACATATAGAGAAAGCCCAATACCCACCTATCCAATAGAGCACTGACGTGGAAAGTGTTTGGCAAAAGGAAGAGAGGCCGTCCCAGAAAAACTTGGTGTTGCTTGGTGGAGCAGGAGCTAACCGTCTTGGGCATGACGTGGGAGGAGCTAGAACAGACTGCCTAAGACCGATGTAAAGGGAAGGATTTGATTAGAGTTCTACACCCCAGCAGAGTGTAATAGGAAAGAAAGAAGAAGCGTAACTCAAAATATCAATAAACACACATGTTAAATATCACACATGCTGATATCATCATTAGGATTTTCAAAAATATCGAAATGCTCTTCATCAACACATTCAGGAATGTTTTTACTGTAGATAGGGTATATTGTGAAACTGCAAGGACCGGTACCACCTTAACTGTTAGCCTTAATGGAGTAGAGCATTGCTATTCGAAAAATGGGATGGGAGCCCTCCTGCGGCACTAAATCACGCCTTGCACGTAAGGCACGCCTTGAGCTACGTCATCCAGCTCCTAGCTTTTTGTTCATTGCTGTGTGAAGTGTGCTAACAGATTTCTTTAACATTATTTAGGCTAACGTCAAGCCTTTTTGCTTTCCCAACTGGGGATTCCGTCACACCCTGCATCTTGCAAATCAGTTAATGAGCCCTTTATCCTGCACTTTTAGGACTGTTGATTTAATTTTTGTATATTTTATAGAATGTCTCTCAGTTCAGTGTGTCTATTGGTAAAGGCCTCCTATAGCATCTTCCATTGTTGTCGTATCTTTAGCAACCCTCTTCCAGTTAGGAGCGGCGATAAGTTTTGTATGACTAAAACCACTAACAGCCGGATAGTATTGGACGAAATGTGAAGGTCTTTATTCATGCAATTTCATCCTGGGAACTAAAAGAAAAATTGTAATCGCCACATGTGTATCGCAAGGTTATGTTAATGCTACCATAAAATCGGTGATAACATAACGTTACGTGTGCCTTCGTCGCAGATAAGTGAACCTATATCTTGAGATAAACCAAATGTTACTTAATAACTTTTAGGGTGTTATGAAATATGATTTTTTTGTGAGCATGGTAGTTTCAAAGATCGTCTTTGTCTTGTATTGTGGAAAGTACCAGATCCTTACGTTTGGGTGCTTTAAATTGGCCATCAACAGTGAACGGGGCCCACGGGCACTGCTAATGTCTATGTCCATTTCGTGACATCGTAGTAAAGATATGGATTTTTTCGCATTTTTGATCGTTGGGACCCTGTAGGCTCTTAAGCCCATTGCAACTACGGACGGACCTGTTGAGCTCACGACCTCAATCTGAGAGAATTGCTAACACTGGCCCTAGCAAGAGCAGTGCTTCGCAGAATCTACCATCGGATCTGAAACGCGGCTCACTGAGAAGATCCGACCAGAGTGGGCTGCGTCTATGGGCTAGTTCGCACCTCAATGACTTAGTCGTAAGTTCGACGAGAAAGATATGAATATGCAAGCATCCTTCTCTAGAAATAGTATCCACGACTTGTTATCAGACAATTCATGTTGTAATACCTATCCAAATGCTAGTTCCTGGCATTTCTCTGGCACAACGTTGTCGTGTGTTACATTCTGACAGGTGAATTAGCCACTACGGGTATTGACATGTCCAGGACAATTCAAATCAGCAGCAAAAGATAGGAATGGGCAGTGATGCTCAGCCTTTAGCAGCTTCCAGGTGTTTTTTGATGGAACCGTTGCTTATGTGGATAAATTAATTAAATTGAGGCGTTTTTGTAACACATCAGATTGCGATTCGTTTGGTATTGTAAGTGTTGCTATGGTAACAGGATGTTTGTACGTTCTTCGTGTCTGCATAGTTATTTTTAGCTTTTAAACCTGTGCACATCGATTACTGAAATCGGATTTTCTTTGTGTATTCAATGTTTTCTTGAATATGGAAGCGAAGCCCACTGAGTTTCTCGCCGGGTCTTCTCAGTCAATCGCTATTGGCAGTAGATTCAGTGAAGCACTGCTCACGCTAGGGCTAGTGTTAGCAATTCACTCAGGTTGATTCCGAGAACTCACCTACCGGTCCGCGCGAAGTTGGTATAGCCTCTTAGGCTCATAATGATTAGGTAGGGTTAAAAAATCCGCTAGTAACTACTTTCTTACTGGTGGTAGGACCTCTTGTGAGTCGCCAAGGGTAGGTACCACCACCTTGCCTATTTTTGCCGTGAAGCAGTAATGCGTTTCGGTTTGAAGGGTGGGGCAGCTGTTGTAACTATACTTGAGACCTTAGAACTTATATCGCAAGGTGGGTGGTGCATTTACGTTGTAGATCTCTATGGGCTCCAGTAACCACTTAACACCAGGTGGGCTGTGAGCTCGTCCAACCATCTAAGCAATAAATAAAAAAAATAGACACGGTGGCAGATTTTACGAAGCACTGCTCTTGTTTGCTTGCTTGCTTAGAAAATTATTTCAGGTTTAGCCGTGAGCTCATCTACCCGTTCGAGCGTAGCTGGAATAGGAAATAGCCCCTTAGGCTACCAGCGAATAGGTAGGGGGAAAAAATGGAAGCATAACTCGATACAATGTTCCAGTTTCGTTTCGTTTGGAACCTCTGGGTCTGTGGAGGGACTTCGGTTCCCTCTGTATTTTGTACCGTATGTTCCATGGGGAGTGCTCTGAGGAATTGTTCGAGATGAAACCGTCATCTCGTTTTTATCATCGCACCGCCCGCCACCGGAGTAGAGTTCATCGATACTACCTGGAGCCACTGCGGTCATCGACAGTGCGTTTCCAGAAATCTTTTTTGCCACGTACCATCCGGCTATGGAATGAGCTCCTCTCCACGGTGTTTCCCGAGCGCTATGACATGTCCTTCTTCAAACGAGGCTTGTGGAGAGTATTAAGCGGTAGGCAGCGGCTTGGCTCTGCCCCTGGCATTGCTGAAGTCCATGGGCGACGGTAACCACTCACCATCAGGCGGGCCGTATGTTCGTCTGCCTAAAAGGGCAATAAAAAAAAATAAAAAAAGTTTTATTTAAGCTAGACTTAAAGACTTCATCATAGTTAGTTACCCTTCGCAGAGTAGTTGTGGTTATGTGGAGTCCTTGTTTATTAAAGCCTTGACAGCTATTCTATATAGTTTGCGAACTGAGGCTAGGCGCACACACTCGTCAAGGGGGGATTTGGTAAGGATTTTCATTTGATCAGTTCAGAGCATGGGGCTTCGTCCACGAGGACTTTTACCGTTGACCCTACCATAAACGTGAAGTTTCCCAATAGACTCTGCTGGCCGTCGCGATACGTGTCCAAAATATTGGAGAGTCCTGGATTGCGCTGTTGACGACAACCTTTAGAATCAGTAGAATCTAATGTGAATTTTTTTAATGTTTTTATTTTTAGGTCGGCAACTTCAGAATGGACAAAGATGGCAACACAATGCAGCAGAAAGTGCCCGCTCACCGATCTGCGGTCTACATTTCCGAACTTATTGATGAGATTTGTATGTTTGCGCTTTTTTTTTTTTACTTATGTCAATCTATATCTATACTAATACATATATAAATCTACAGTGGTTTTTACGGATGTTCCGTTATAACTACTGAACCGTGCATCCGACTGACTTGAAACTTGGTATCCATGTAGAAAATACATGTACTTAATGGATAGGCTAATATTTAGATGAGTGTTGGACTCCCTACACCATTTGCGGGGGCGTTAATGCTGAGAATCTTTGGGGGGGTGAGAAATAATAATGTTAATTTTAAATGCCCAGCGAAGCGGACGGGTACGGCTAGTATTTATATATATAGCCTTTGCGTGCCTCTAAAATCGTCAAGAATGTAATGGCTAAATATTTTATTTATATCATTTTCCATCGCGCGCGTCTCCGAATGTCAAATAAACCGCAAATGTCATCATGAATTTACTTTGAAACACAAAATTGCAACTTATGGATGTCTGATGCATTGTTTATTTATCAAAATTTGAGTAGTACTAGTCCCATTTTTAAAACTGGAAAGGCGAAGGTATCACACAATACGACCTAATCTTTTGTATATTCTGTTTCATGAAAAATAAAATGGAGGGAAATGAATTGAAGTTGATTAATTTGAGAATTTAATAAATTATTATTGGAAGGGGAATTAAATGAAACGATATAATATTGGATGAAACGAAGTCTCAGTAAAATTAATTAATTAATTAATTTATTTATTTATTTAATCAACAATGTTTCAACAGCATTTAACTAGACACAGGGTATACAGATGATGTTTTCCCAAACATGAGCCGACTAAAGAAACACATTATGTTTCCAAAAAATGTTAACATAATTAATGAACACAGGTAGTCCATTAACTGGTGGTAGGACCTCTTGAGAATCCGCGCGGGTAGGTACCACCACCCTGCTTATTTCTGCCGTGAAGCAGTAACGCATTTCGGTTTGAAGGGCGGGGCAGCCGTTGTAACTATACTGAGATCTTAGAACTTATATCTCAAGGTGGGTGGCGGCATTTACTTTGTAGATGTCTATGAGCTCCGGTAACCACTTGACACCAGGTGGGCTGTGAGCTCGTTCACCCATTTAGGCAATAAAACAAAAAAAGAAACCGTTCACCCAATTTCGCTCCTCGCGTTTTCACTAAAAAGTATCAAAATTTGAATTCCACTCGAACTCTTGATGCTTACGTTCCTTTGGAGACTTTTTGGCGGGAACGCGAGTAGTGAAGCTGTGCGATTTGTTTTATTTTGTCTATTTAGTGTTTCTTCAGGTTTAAATGTGTAATAACGCTGGTTTAGTACCTGTGAAAGTGCACAAATGTGAGAAAATTAAACAAAGCCGCTGGACGTAATTTACCGGGATCCTCCAAAAAGTCCCCTTAAAAAAATCTTAGTAAATGACCACCATTTTACTGAGATTATATTTCATCCCATATCACATCATCTCATCTCATTTCATGTAATTTCATCCCAGTTGATTAATGTCTCAAATTAATTATTTTCATTTCCCTTCATATTATTTTTCGTAAAAGTCAGAATGTAAATTAAAATAAGACATGACTTAAAGGTCTTAGTTACCAGGTCATAAAATCCCATTTAAAAAAAAAGTAAGTTCCTTTCCGCGCAGAAGATTGTACTCGTCAACAATTGAACACGTCATCACGATGCGTTACAGGCAAAAAGATGGATGACTACGTCCGCGTTTACTACAAGTCGACCGGTAAACTAACGATAATGCAGCTGATGACCAAGGAGGGCGGTATGAACCCTGAATTCTCGAAGACCAAGTTCGTGACCGACGACGACCTGAACAAAAGCTTGGAGTATTACGTGAGTTGTATAAAAAAGCTCTATATAAACAGTCGGCGTCATTACGGATCCTCCCGATCCGTTAACGGTGCTTTTTATTTTATTTTAACAGTCGCCATGAGGGTAGGTGTAGGTTTACTTATTATTAAACTACACAACGCTAAACTATAGAACAGCTGTGTATTCACGCGTACAATGCAATCTATCTATATATTATATATAAATGAATTGCTGTTCGTTAGTCTCGCTAAAACTCGAGAACGGCTGGACCGATTTGGCTGATTTTGGTCTTGAATTATTTGTGGAAGTCCAAAGAAGGTTTAAAAGGTAGATAAATATGAAAATGCTCGGAATTAAATAAAAATAACAATTTTGTTTTTCCTTTGATGTGTCTCCCGTCGGACGGATTCCTTTTGTATGTTTATTTTATACCAAAGTTTAGATTTTTTATTTATTGATTGAGGCACTACGAAGTCTGCCGGATCAGCTAATTTTAAATAAAAATTATCTACTAAAAACCATCTCGCGAGCCAGTTGAGAGCATACACGATCCTGCGGACCAAATGGTAAACAGTAGACGTCGCCCTAAACACGTCATTACGGATCCTCCCGATCCATTAACGGTGCTTTTAGGTACTACTAGCACCGGTCACCGTCCTCGCCGAACCCGTCGCTTGCGACGAAGGACTCTACGAGTAAATTAATCCATAACCCATAACACAGCCCACTGAGTTTCTCCCCGGATCTTCTCAGTGGGTCGCGTTTCCGATCCGGTGGTAGATTCAGCAAAGCACTGCTCTTGCTAGGGCTTGTGTTAGCAAACTCTCTCAGGTTGAGCCCGTGAGCTCACCTACCCATTAGGGCGTAGCTGGAATAGGCTATCAAAAAAATGGAAGCATAACTCGACCCAATGTTTCAGTTTGATTTAATCTAGACTTAAGGACTTCATCATAGTCTACCTGTCTACGAAGTCTGCCAGAAACTAGGTAGGGAAAAAAATGGCATATAGATGTAGAATTAGAGATCGCAGCGAAAAAAAAAAATGTCACTGTTCCAAGATCTTCTGTTATAATAATAATTTAGAAATTAATGTACCTTATCTACCTTTTACCTTACTTACCTCTACCCTCCATAGCTTTCTCTCACTCACATCCTAACGCTCCGTTCCACGCTCTTTTCATACGTTCCGTTCTTACCAATCCTACATTGATATGGATTATCTGTTTGATTTTGACACTGATATGGAGGGTAGAGGTAAGGAGAACCGTTTCATATGGGAGAAACTTGAAAAAGTGTCCCACTTTTAGCACTAAATAACAGTTCAAAAATCCTCCAGAATGGCGCTAGCATAGGCACAGGGTATGATATGAATTGAGCAGTTGTTAACTGATTGAAGTATGCTGAGTTAGGAACTTTAATATATTGAATGACTAGAGTAGTTAGTGACAGTGTAATATACAAGACCTCACATGTTTACGTAGTCCAAACTAATTTCGTCAATATAACCTAAAATTATTGCTGTGATAAAACGTGGAGACATCGATTGCATTTTCTTATCAGCTTTAAATAAAATACTTTTTGTGATTTCGTAGCGCTTACAGTTCTTTCGTCCATTTTTATTTCTCGTATCTTAGCCTAATAACTTTCAGCGCCTTTTTTTTTTAATTTACCCGGTTGCTACTGTAGCGCCACCCTTATTGAGCAGATTTTAATGGACGCTTTTTACACACAGAGACAGTGCTCCTTACCTCTACCCTCCATGATTCGTCTAAAGAAATCCACAGAGTACTTCGAATAACAGAGTAGCTTCCGCGACTCGACAGTAAGAGAAGTGTCTTATTGTTTAGAGATAAAAACCTGTGCCTAAACTGAGTAAAAATGTTCGAATATAAAGAAACTTTTCTAATAAAGTTATAGAAAAAGTTTTTTAATTTACCCGTTTGCTACGGTAGCGCCACCCTTATTTAGCAGATTTTAACGGATACTTTTTCACGCACAGAGACGGTTCTCCTTACCTCCACCCTCCATAGACAATGATGGTCTTTAAATAGGTTTATCATTCACGTTCCAGTGCGAACGTATGTTTGAAGACAATGAAGACGAGATCACGTCTTTGTACGTGAAGCGACCCGACGATGACGTCATGCCGGACGCGGAACGCGAGGTGAGTCGCTACTAGTGATGACGTCACTACTTAGAGGGGTGACGTTGTCGATACTGGGAGCTCGTGTTCTAAGACGCGGGTAGCCCTAATGGTTTTATTCGGCAATGGACTTTGTTTTTTTAACACCCTGTATATATCTGTCTATACAGCGGACTCTGTCAACGTAACACGGTTAATAAATAGCAGACCAAGCATTTTTATTGTGCTACTATACTTGAGACCTTAAATCTTGAATCTCAAGATGAGTGACGCATTTACGTTGTAGATGTCTATGGGCTCTAGTAACCACTTTAAACCAGGTGGGCTGTGAGTTCGTCCACTCAACTAAGCAATAAAAAAAATTTAAAAACATTACTAGTGGTCGCGTAGTAGTCGAAATTCGACTATAATTAACTTTAATTATAAGTTTGTACATTATTATGATTCTATTATGTAATTTCTATAATAATTGTTCTATAATCACAGGTTTCGCCAAGACTATAGTATAGACAAATAATATTAAAAACAAACAATATTAATCTTTTCTCAATTTTACCACAGACTTTAAACAATAAACAAAAGACTATAATAGTATATGCGTGTGTGTCAAATCTACTACACTGTAGTGTGTGTAATTAAATTAAATACAAAATTCTCTTACAAGCTTTTTTTTTCACTATAAAGATGCATTTTCATTTTAAAGAAATACACCGAGGACTTAGTAATGGATATCAGAATATGAAATCAGGTGTTTACGATTCTGTTTATTTCACAGATATGCTTCAACCACGCCAAGTATTGCGAGGAGTGGATGTTACCCACTGAAGAGGACACGACTTGGACCAGAGAAATGGAGGAGGAGTATGTCAAGGTTAGTAGCATGTCCTCGCCACACGTGTCCCCGGACCACACCTGGCGCGCGTGTGGTACACGTGACCATCGACGACTTGCACTCATCATTCTCCTGCCCAGTGGCAGATTTACCCTAAGGCCCAGGCCTAGGGCGGGCAGATTTAGGAAACTTATTATAACGTATGGCGGGCGGACTGCACTGCATGATGCAATCTGTACCGCATAAAACTAAATTTCGAAATCTGTTTAGATGAAAGTTGGCAATAAAGTAATTTCATTATGTAGTCTATAATGTTGGATGCTGCGAATGGGGCGGCTGATGGCTTGGGGCCTAGGGCGGCCGAGACTGCAAATCCGCCACTGCTCCTGCCCTTCTCCCAGTCACCTGGGGTCGGTGTAACATGTTTTCTCCTTCCATACTCCTCTACCATATACCATTCGCTCACTCCCCTCTTACACATGAGTCGTCTATTATCAAAGGTGGCAATCTGTGCATTTGGACAAAAAAATGTTATTGATATGTCAATACAGATTGATTTGAATATAATCGTCTCCTTCAAAGAATACGGTTCAAAACCTGCATTAAATAAAGGTTAATAGTTAACCTGTTATTTATCTAAGATGTCGTTCCGAAGAGTTTTGTGACTGCCAATGGAATACAAAGTCAATAATTCGTTTTTCTGATTTACCAATAATTGTCCAAAAGTCACATTGCCGGCTTTGATAATAGTCGACTCACATATTGTCTTTCACGCAATCCATCCATTACTTCTTAGGTCTACTTCTCCCTTTATATCCTTCCACATTCATAGTTAACACTCTCTTACCAACCTCATCGTCATTTCGTCTCATCACATGTCCATACCATCCCAAACGCGCACTTCTCAGCTTCTCTGTCGCAGGTGCCACTTTCAGTGTGCTTAGTGCGAGTTTTGTAACGTTCACGGTAACGTAGAAGTTAACTCATATTTGTATGGCACGGGACGTTTGCGTACGTTTGCCGCCAGGGGCGCTGTCCCAACTGCATACAAAATTGAGTTAACTTTTACGCTATCGCCCACTTCGATAAAGCGGCACGACACGAGAACCCTCTCATGGTGGCCGCCGGTAACTACATTCCCGATCCTGCGGACAGAATGGAAAGCAGTCGACGTCGCCCCAAACACGTCATTTCGGATCCTCCCGATCCACTAACGGTGCTTTTAGGATCCTCAAGCATCGGTCACCGTCCTCATCGAACCCGTCGCTTGCGACGAAGGGCTCAACGAGTAAATTAACCCATAGACACAACCCACTGAGTTTCTAGTCGGATCTTCTCAGTGGGTCGCGTTTCCGATCCGGTGGTAGATCCTATGCTAGGGCCAGTGTTAGCAACACTCCCGGTTTGAGCCCCGTGAGCTCACCTACTAGCTTGGTGAATCTAGAATAACCCCCCGAGGTTACTGGAATAGATAGAAAAAAACAACGGTTGAGAACCGCTGGCCTGTCCCCATAGTGACGCGTCGCCTGTGTCCCACAGGTCCACGGGCCGGACCCGTACGGCTTTGGGGGCGTGCCGCCGCCCGCCCATCCCGACCTGTCCGAGGACTACGACGACACCGACCAACATACGGACGACTTCGGCGACGACATCAGGGACGAGCTCTAGGACCCCTACGCCGCTGGTACTACACTCATTTCAGTTAAAATATACTTTATAAACAATCTCAAAGGAGCATTGCATTAACAAAATAAAACTACTCGCGCGCCATCTAGCGTGAGTCTCTACAAGCTCTCTCCGTAGTGCCAACCACAGTCAAAGCAATTTTCAATTCGATAAATAATTAAAGGCTTCGTCAAACAGAACGCGTACTTAGCGCGCGTCAGAGCGTTGCGCTATGACGCCGAGATGTGCTGTACTACTATGTTAATGTACTGTCAAACAGAGCGCCAGCGCTATAAGTACGCAGCGCTCTGTCGCGGCGTTAGGACGCTTTGACGTCAGACGTTGTAATTTTTACAACGTCTGACAGACTACGTACCGACATGCATAAAATTTAAACATTCATTGAAGTTGGAACTTACTCTGAACTGAAGCAGCTGATTTTACTTTAATACAATAGCGACAATGGTTAATAGACAATACTATTTATCTGCAAATAAAGCGAAAACAATATGGTCTGTGGAAAAAAATAACTGTAGACAGTAGACTGTAGACAATGTATCATGTATAATGGACTATAGACAGTTTATCATACACAATTGACTATAGACAGTTTATCATACACAATTGATTATAGACAGTGTAGCATACACAATTGACTATAGACAGTGTATCATACATAATTGACTGTGTACAGTACTAAATACAAATTTTTGCAATTCGATGATATTAAATATTAAGCAGACTTGTGTACGTCCGTTCACTGTTAGACTACAGGGAAGATGCCCACGGGCCGCAGTCGCATTATATAGGCCATGTAATGTTAATTGCATGATTAATCCATAAAAATGTAATCATAATGAATTCAAATTACTATTAAATAATTGAATTTCGTTCAGTGATAATGAAGTTAAAAGTAATTGAATTCTGTAGCACACTTAATTATTATATTCGACAAAGCTTTTTTACTTGTTTTGATAGAACCAATAATCTTCTGTGCTTAATTAATTCAGAACTAACCGAAATAATTGTTTCAATAAAAATATATTTTAACTGAAATATGTTTGAAGTTTATTATCATTATTATTGTAGTAGTACTTACTCTACACGTGTCTTCCGCAGTGCCTTGTATTAGTTTTGTGTTTTAGGTCTTTGAGGTATTCAGATAGTTTTCTTAGAGATTAATTAAATTATTTGTTAATTGAGTTAAAGCTGTCATCACATATCAATTATTATTTCCATATTATCTGGAACCGCTGCGTTCATCGACGGTGCGTTTCCAAAGATCTTTTTTGCCACTTACCATCCGGCTTTGGAATGAGCTCCCCTCCACGGTGTTTTCCGAGCGCTATGACATGTCCTTCTTCAAACGAGGCTTGCGGAGAGTATGGTAGGCAGCGGCTTGGCTCTGCCCCTGGCATTGCTGACGTCCATGAGCGACGGTGACCACTTACCATCAGGTGGGCCGTACGCACGTCTGCCTACAAAGGCAATAAAAAAAAATTACACATATCAGTTCATCTGTTAAAAGCGATCACTATATATTGAAGGGTGAAAGAGAATTTGGTCTAAGCGAAATTTCTCTTAATACGTGACATTTATCTTTATAATTAGAGGTGCGTTTTGATTTGATACTAGCGGCCCGCTCCGGCTCCGCTCGGGTCTTTAACAAAAATTTCAACGATATTTGACGTTGTTTTATTTTTTTAAATAAAAGAACACTTATTGCGGCACAACCATAATAGTTAGACATATGCTGTCGCGACACTTTTTGTAAATAATAATGTGTTCTACAAAGTCGTAGTACATTATTTTATTCTATCATCAATAGTTTTCGCAGCGCACGCGATGTAAAGAATATTTAGGTAATTTTTTTACACGTTGGGTTACATTATTGGAGTTTTAGTAGGGATCCCTAATGTTTTTTTCAGAAAAGATTATAACCTATGTCACTCGGGAATAGTGTAGCTTCTAAATGGTGAAAGAATTTTTCAAATCGGTCGAGTAGTTTCGGAGCCAATTCAATACAAACAAACAAATCTTTCCTCTTTATAATATTAAGTATAGATTAACATCAACAGTTCGATTTTTCTAATTGAACTTCAATTAAGTTTCCTTCATTCAACTATTTAAAGAAGTTTTTTTGTTATGATTTTTTTTCCAAACTTTAAACTTTAAATGGCTCTCCTGTAAAAATGTCGCTTAAACCAATTAGCTTTTCACCCGTCGATATGATTTCATGGTTAATGACTGCGTTTTTTAGAGTATAAGTACTCTATAGTTAGCTGACCACTTTTGGCTTCATATGACGTCATCCAGAGTAAAGGTACGTTTGGTCGCGTTTGAGCGGGTGACGTCATTTCTAAATAAGAATTATTGTCTGCCGCCTCCCATTGTCAGAGTTTGTTCCCAGTGTTACGAATTACGAAAGGAATTACTTTGGTTTTTACAATTGAAATTTTAATAGTGAATATTTCACTCTAAAATTGTTGTTACAGTTATTATTTTTTTTGTATCAGATGAAATTCAATTTTATCTGATACAAAAAATTGAGTTTTTTATTCGACTTACAAAAATGTAATTTATAATTTGTTTGTTATGTGTATATTGAAAAAAAAAATACAGGTGAATGTGTGTCACAAAAATTTTTTCTTGTTTCATTTTGAGTATTAATATGTAATTAACAAAAATAAATGAGCATTCCCATTGTATTTACATGTTGTAAATGTGTAGTCGGAATCTGTGATTACTAGATTATGGTAAAGTCAATTATATCAGCAAATTTTGATAAAATTATCGTCAGTGTGGTTAAGTTCAAAGCCGATATTTGCATATCGCCCTCATTGGGTTAGTGTTGAATTTTGTTAGATGATATTACAGACGCCATTACATTCCCAAATTGATTGTTTTGGGTAGATTATAGTTTTTTTTTTAGCACTAGTAATGGTTTTGAACCATACATCTTATGCGGTCACTGACAATAAGCGCGAGATGAAACTTTAAAAATAATTTAGACACAAAGTGGCATGCTCTCTGTTCTCTCAAACATTCAAATCGAAGTGATTGGTTGTGATTAGTATACACATTATCTATTGGACTAAATCGAGACCCTAAGGAAAATATATTTATGTATACATATTTACTCAGGCTACCGAGGGAGTCATTAGGCATTATACAGGGTAAGGACGCGTATCGTCTGATTGGTCGCATTGAACCTATAAAAAACTGGGCTTTGGCAATTATGTTTGTAATGTAAAAAAAATATGTTATTTTATCTGTGGTACGATTTTGCGTAACCAATATGGAGGGTAGATGTAAGGAGCACCATCTTGTAATGGGGGCAAGTTGAAAAAGTGTCTGCCTGTATACAGCAACCTATTTTTAGGAGATTCATCGAAATAGCGCTAGTGTAGGTAGTGGAAATTATATGATTATAGCAGTTTTAGAGTGAAGTGTGGTAGTTTAAGCTGTTTTAAAATTCTCCCACTTGCTACAGTGGCGCCACCTTAATTGGCTTCCTTTGAGCGGACATCTTTTAAAACACTGGTACAACACAGCTGGTACTCCTTGCTTCTACTCTCCACAGTAGCCAATCCTTTTAAGAAGTACTATGTTGTCTGTGAAACATCAATTTTGAATACCGATTCGATCACAGATATTAATTACTCTTTGGTATTTTTGGCGGGAAGGTACTTAATGACGCGTGATGTGTAACTCAATATAGGGCCGTGTTGTAATTCCCGCGTAAACGATGAGCGTCGAAATATTTGTAATTAAATTTGTTATAAAACGGCGAACTTCGATGACGTATCATTCAAACTAATTTTACGATTTGTAAAGCTATTCTATCGTAAAAAATTGTTTTGTTTGCGACTCGTGAAAGCAAATTACAAATGTATGTCTCTTTGATTTATGTTGTGTGATAAATTTGATAAAATATAAATAATTGGTTTTTATTTTGTTGTTTTATTTTATCTACTATTTGGAGTTGGCGCCTTGAAAGGCGATTGATTGCATGCAGTAGAGATACGAATATTGCGATGGATGTGTGGAGTAACGAGAATGGATAGAATACGGAATGAATATGTTAGAGGAAGTCTGAAAGTGGCACTTGTGACAGAGAAGCTGAGAAGTGCGCGTTTGGGATGGTATGGACATGTAATGAGACGAAATGACAATGAGGTTGATAAGAGAGTGTTAACTATGAATAGAGGAAGAGGTAGATCTAAGAAGAAATGGATTGATTGCGTGAAAGACGATATGTGTAAGAGGGGAGCGAGCGAAGAAATGGTATATGATAGAGGAGTATGGAAGGAGAAAACATGATGCGCCCACAACAGGTGACTGGGAGAAGGGCAGGAGAATGATGATTGGAGTTGGCGCCAGAGGGGAAACCAGGATGAATGTTAAAAAGTCGTCACTCAGCTTGAGACATGAAGTCTGGTTCACCTTTAGACAGCCATGTATCTAGTATGAAGTATCGATGGTACGGGCCAGTTCGGCTGTGCCCCATACTCATGTGTCCAGAACAGGAACAATTTTTACACAGAAAACAAATTTTCGCGAATTTAAGGTTCATGACTGCCAGTGTTTTTAGCAGCACGCTTCATGTAAATTTGGTTACCTACTCTTTATTGGTACTACAGACGAAAAGATAGTCCACATGAAGATGAGTGATCAACTTCGCTCATGGATATCAGTAATTCCAGGGTCATAACAAGACAGTCTGAAGGATATTGGTGGCATTGATAATGGGCATGTAGTCACTTAATATCAGGAATGTTCTTGCGCTCATCATCCTCAAAAATGCTTTTTTAAATGCTTAGATGGAGGGACGAGCTCACAGCCCACCTGGTGTTAAGTGGTTACTGGACCCATATAAATCTTCAACGCAAATGCGCCACCCACCTTGAGATATGAGTTCTAAAGTCTCAGTATAGTTACAACGGCTGCCCCGCCCTTCAATCCGAAACGCATTACTGCTTCACGACAGAAATAGGCGGGGCGGTGGTACCTACCCGCGCGGATTCACAAGAGATCCTACCACCAGTACAAGGCTGTGTCGATATCCATAAAGCTTAATTAAAAATCTTTGATGTCTCAAACATGACAACTTTAATGTTTAGCTACAAAATGCTGTAATTTTGATTATTATCAAGCGAGTGATATGAATTCAAGATTAGATTCGAATAATAAAAAAACTGATTACACTTTTTCTATAACTTTATTAGAAAAGTTTCTTTATATTCGAACATTTTTACTCAGTTTAGGCACAGATTTCCGGTTTTATGTCTAAACAATAAGACACTTCTCTTACTGTCGAGTCGCGGAAGCTACTCTGTTATTCGAAGTACTCTGTGGATTTCTTTAGACGAATCATGGAGGGTAGTGGTAAGGAGAACCGTCTGTGTGTAAAAAGCGTCCATTAAAATCTGCTAAATAAGGGTGGCGCTACAGTAACAACCGGGTAAATTTTAATAAAGGCGCTAAAAGTTATTAGAATAAGATAGAGAAATAAAAAAGGACGAAAGAACTGTAAGCACTACGAAATCACAAAAAAGTATTTTATTTAAAGCTGATAAGAAAATGCAATCGATGTCTCCACGTTTTACCACAGCAACAATTTTAGGTTATATTGACGAAATTAGTTTGGAACAAGTAAACATGTGAGGTCTTGTATATTACACTGTCACTAACTACTCTAGTCATTAGATATATTTAATAGAAATATATTTCCTTACTCAACAAACTTCAATCAGTTAACAACTGCTCAATTCATATCATACCCTGTACCTATGCTAGCGCCATTCTGGAAGATTTTTGAACTGTTATTTAGTGCTGAAAGTGGGACAAGTTTTTCAAGCTTCTCCCATATGAGACGGTTCTCCTTAGCTCTACCCTCCATAAGGGAAAGTTACGACTACCCTTATAACTGTCTTCAATACAATTGACATTTTTTATTTCAGACAAATTTCGTCAAGATAGCATTTTTTGTCTGGAGCGCATTCACACGTTTGCTTTTTGTTAGTACTAATCATAATTTGAGGGGTGCAAGGGTATTTGGTCTAAGCGACATTTTTGCATAATTTTCATGTATAAAATTTGGAAAAAATATAACAAAAAACTTTTTGGCAACTATTTGAATGAAGTTCAATAAAAATACTGAACTATTGATGCTAAAACCAAATAAAACGGAACTTTAATTACAGAGACGGCATATTAAGCGACATGTCACTTAATCAAATAACCTTTTTCACCCCCGATATTGTAAAATTTAACCATATTTCGATTTTTCACTAATAAGTTATCTATACATTTTGTTACAATTAGTCTATATGCTACACCCACACCTACATCCCACCCAATACAACAAATCAACACGTTTATAAAGATATATCTCATAAGCACATTTTAATCATTTCATGCCCAAATAATTAAGTTTTAAATAAGAAAATATCATCACATAGAAAAACCAACTTTTTATTCGAGCGTTTACATTAAAATATACCTTAATTTTATTTTAACGTACGCGTTAGGTCATTCACCTTTGAATTGAATTCAGTGATGCCAACCGTACACTTGAGTTCGATAAATACACTAATGACACTTATGTTTATGGTTAGCAGTAGCAGGTAAGGAGAGAGAACTCCCACGCAGTACTTTTGAGGGAACAACGTTGCGTTTTCTACCGCCGCAAGGACAAATGAGGTAGTGTCCTATTACGCCTTCATCAGACAGTTAAGTGTTCATGATTTTAATTTCTAAAGCACATATCTCACAATATCGTTCATAAGACCTCCATTAGCTCAACGGAACGAAACAGACCGGTAAACATTAATGAAACTGTTTAAAATTAATGCAAAAGCGATTATCATTACTGTTCCATCGATTATTCTTACAAATCCCTGTGCTATGCAAGGAAATTATTGGTTTTATTGCCTGTCGCACGACAGAAGCTTTGGTCACATTCCCTAATATTTTAAAATATGTTTTGGTTAATATTCTGCCTCCTTGCAATTCGAATTGTAGATCTAATTCCCTAATAATTAAAACCGACAATCGTATGTCCATAGCATAATATTGCTCACATCTTGTTTTCTATTGCACGCAACCGTTTCACGTGCGGTCGAAGATTGTAAAGCCTCATGGAATCTCTCGCGACCGGATTCGTCGTTATGATGGAGGTACTTTGAGTGCCACCGTGTAAGGTTCGACATTGGCAGTTTGAACGTTAAGCGTCGATCTGTTGTGACGCATGTGCGATTTCACCAGATCCGAATTAACCAAGGCCGCCATTAGACTAAGCTCGCCAGCTAAAACCGTAGCGCATATTAGGGACGCCAGCCTGGCGGAGTTCTCGGCAGGTCGCGTACCCGCTCCTTTGACTCCTAAGATTTCTAGACACGCTCCCTGACCCGTCAAAACTGTTCCCCCACCTACTGTGCCGACTTCCAAGGAGGGCATGGTGCAGGTAACGTATAGATCTTCGCCGTTTTCCCCGTAAGCTTCCATATTTGTCGAGCAGTTGCTGCTAGTGACGTTCTGAGCCGGATCTTGGCCGGTAGCTATGAAGATAGCGGTAACCATGTTGGCCGCGTGCGCGTTGTTGCCGCCTATGGACCCGGCTAAAGCGGAACCGGATAAATTCTTGATTTTGTTGCACCGAGACAGAGTTTTAGCGTCGGTCTTGAAGATCGTGCGCAAATTTTCACTGGATATGACAGTCTCGCAGACAACCCTTTTACCTCTACCTTTGATCCAGTTTATCGCCGCTGCCTTTTTGTCCGAACAATAATTCCCTGACAAACTAATAACTTCCATATCACGGAAGAAGGTTTTTAATAGTTTTAAAGCGTTTTCCGCGCCTTTCGAGACCATGTTCATTCCCATAGCGTCGCCAGTTGTCGCTCTGAACCTTAGATAGAGAGTAGCTCCGTCAACTCCGACGTGTATTTCTTGGAGCCGGGCGAATCTTGAAGTCGAATCGAACGCCTCTTTGAGCAGAGCGTAGTTCTCTTTATTGTCGATCCATTGTCGGCATTCATGGGCTCGCACTACGTTTGGCAATTTGACAGCCGGCGCTCTTGTCATGCCGACATCTTCGACGACACTCGTCACTCCCCTACTGCCAATGGCTTTGGCTCCGCGGTTTGTTGACGCCACCAAAGCCCCCTCGGTCGTAGCCATCGGGATCATGTAAGGCTTCCCGTCTACCACCAACGGGCCGGCATATCCGACGGGAACTCCAATGTAGCCAATCACATTCTCACAGCACGCGTTTAAGACTTTACTATAATCGTAGTTTAAGTAGGGAAGTTGTTTTATTGCGGTTTCGTTGTTAAATCTCGACGCGATCACTCGCCGGCGCAGTCTCACACCGCGCAAGGGATCCTCCAGCACAGCTTCCAATCTGTGCATGGGTATATGGGATTGCTCGACTAGCATTATGACTTCTTCATCGCTGAGAGAAGTGCAAGCACCAGATCGATATAGCTCTAAGCATTCGACCATAGGCCTCTTTTTGGCGTTCAATTTAGAGGCCGAGGAGCTTGGGGACAAAGTGGGCCACTCCATGTCCTCGACATTTCCAGCCTCATCGGTCTGTGTAGACACTTCAGAATTGGAATCGTCACCGACAGAAAACTTGGGTTTACGGCTCAAATCGGTGTCATTTATCACTTCCTTTACAGTCATGTCGTCCATATCATAAACCCAGTTACGTTGCTCTTCAAAGAAAATGAATTTTATAATCAAAGCGCAGAGCAGCGTCGCTATAACGATGTAGTCTGCGCTCACAGAGAACCACTTCACGTATGAATGGAGGAGTATATTGTCGTGGGGAACAGGTATGGATGCATCAATTGGTCCCTCAATTATGCCGTGATTAGCGGACCAAGGCCACCTGCTCGTCAAATGAACGCACAATAAGCCAGCGGCCATAATCATTTTGACTCTCTGCACCACAGGGTTGGGTTTCAAGTCCTCCTCCGAGAATGGACTGTCGTGGGCTATTTCTTTTCTGTTCGTTGCGAAATCTGCTACCAATGACAAACAAGCGGGGTAGAAAGTTATGAACACAATGTAGTCAACTAACAAGGCTAGGCAAGCAAAAGTACACATATGCTCGAGACGGGGAACACCAGATAAAGCTCCGACGCCGACCAATAATATGGCGAGTAGCGTGTCCAGAGTTGCAGTTGGTCCTAACAACGACAAGGCCCTCCCAACCCTCTTCCCTTGGTCTTCACCGGCCGACCACCCCGCTTTCGCCATCCTAGCACCTCTGGCGACATCAGCCACCAACAGAAAGAGAAACGGCGCATCCTTTATACTAGCCAATTCGCTCCAGAACAGGCTAGCGAGTGCCGACGTGAATATAAAACTGGCAAACGTTGAGAACACCCCGGCTATGATGAGGAGGTATTTCGAGGCTATTTTGTGAAGGTTGAGAACTTGGTAGTATGCATATAGCAGGGCGGCACAGCGGACAAAAGTCATGATGACCGCGTCGGCTGCTTGATACTCCGCTTCAAGGCCGGGACACGCTCGAGCCCAACCCGCACAGTGTTCAGATCTGTTCCCTGGGCCATGTCGCTCGACACTAGCTGCACATGCTAGTAAAGCCAGGGTGGCTACGATGACTTCCCATTGATGTCTAGCGCAGAATTCCCCGTGGGCTCCCCACACTTTCATTTTTTCTTTCTGATATCTGAAACGAAAGAGGTTATTGTTATTGTTTTATTAAATAAATATCAGATGAACTGACGAATATCACTGACGGCGATATAGGTTTTATAGTATCAATTATCGATTTTTATAACGTACGATCCACGTGATGTGTTCTGAGGAATCGTTTTGAAGTGATCCCCTCATCTCCTTACGATCGAACTACATTTCTTATAACCTGGAACCACTGCATTCGTCTACAGTAAGTTTCTTTTGATCATTTTGGCCACGTACCATCCGACTTCGAAGTGACATTCCCTTCGGGGTGTTTCCGGGGTCTTGTGATAGACGGTAAGAAGCTTGGCTGGGCCCCGGATATTGCTGATGTCAATAAGTGAATGTGACAGCTCACCATCAATGTGCTTGGTGCGAGTTTTTTAACGTTCTTGATAGCGTAAAAGTTAGCTCAAATTTGTATGCAATTAGAACAGCGCCCCTAGCGACAAACGTAGGCAAACTCCATACAAATTAGAGTTATCAGAAGAATACAAAAACGTTAAAAAACTGGCACTAAGCACACTGATCGTCTGCTATAAACTAAAATAAAAACGAAAAACAAAACAATACCAAATAATAAACCAGTTTTATTAGAAAAGTTTCCCGCGATTAGTTCCAATGCTATCTGTTGTATCATTTTAAGCATTCACAGCGCATGTTATCGTTCGCACATGTGCGAATCTTCATCACACACCTATCGTACCTACTTTTACTCTCGAGAAACATCGTGACGTCAAATAGAAACCGTATACATTGAACGTGCGGAATTAATTATACCGTTTCGGAACGACCATATAACTGTGTCCACAATAGTTTGCTTTTTCAATCACATACCGGTGTTGTTACTCGACTGGTTGGTAATGAAGGGTAATTGAAAATTAATTTTAAAGGAGTGATCTCTTGTTTTTTTTCTGGTCTCTATATTGTTTCCGATATTTCGGATATTTTACGCTTCTCGTGGTTAAGGACGAATCGTAAAAGTAGTTTTAATTATGTCGGTACTATACGTGAATGGTATTCAAGGTTTTCTTTTTTCGTAGGGGTCTTTGATGTTGTAAATAAAGATTCTCTTCGAAGAATCTGTCTCACTGCTTATAATGAAACCGGAGGAATTGGGTTTATTGTATACAATACAAGGTTCATTCATCATTCATCATCATTCATACAAAACATTGGAGGAGTCCAAGAATTGGCCCTATATGTACTAACCATTAGTATTGCTGTGCAAATGGAGTAATGGCGTAAAAAATGGCGTAATGCTTTCAAAACTCGCCCGACAGACAGTCATGTGACGCGAGATCGAAACAAGATTCAACAAATAGACGATTTCTTTTCGTTTGTAAATTCTATTTACTTCTTAGAAGCATAACTTTCTATAGTTTAGTTCTAAATTAAACAAGATTTGCGAAGTTTTAGTAAAAAAAAATTCTACCTGTGATGATAGCCTTGAGAGGCTATTTCAACTTCACCCTAACGTGTGTAGGTGAGCTCACGGGGCTCAAACCGGAGTATTGCTAACACTTACCTAGCAAGAACAGTGCTTCGCAGAATCTACCACCGGATCGGAAACGCGACCCACTGAGAAGATCCGGCGAGAAACTCAGTGGGCTGTGTCTAAGGGCTCGTCGAGCGAAATAACCCATAGACACAGCCCACTGAGTTTCTCGCCGGATCTTCTCAGTGGGTCGCGTTTCCGATCCCTTCGCAGAGTAGCTGAACGAGCTAATTTTTGAAATTTTGAAGGTCTAGTTGTAAGCAGTCATATGAAAACCAATTAGTCACTTTTGAATAATAGTATTAACAAAGTTATTGACACAGACATTTCTCTCAAACGAAATTAATTTGAGGCCCATTCATCGAAGTATTGTGAAATCTATATCAATAAGTACAAGACCGGTTTTCATTCAAAACATCATTGACTGCAAACTAAAATACCGGTTGAAGCTATGTGACTTTCGCAAGAAGCCGAATAACTAACTGGGCTTATGAAGGGCACACTCTAATTTAGAACCATATAACTTACGATTGAGTGGACGGTTTAGCTTTTACTGGCAATGCCGTCCTCGTCGTGGCTTAAAGGATAAGTTGCCCGGTGCATTCGTATGTAGCGATGCACCGGTGTTAGAATCCCGCTGGCAAGTACCAATTTTTCTAATGAAATACGTACTCAACAAATTTTCATGTATGACTTCCACGATGAAGGAATAACATTGTGTAGTAAAAATCAAACCCGCAAAATTATAATTTGCGTAATTACTGGTGGTAGGACTCTTGTGAGTCCGCAAGGATAGGTATCACCACCCTGCTTATTTCTGTCGTGAAGCAGTAATGCGTTTCGGTTTGAAGGGTAGGGCAGCCGTTGTAACTATAATTAAAAATTCATATCTCAAGGTGGGTGGCGCATTAACATTGTAGATGTCTATGGGCTCCGGTAACCACTTATAACACCAGGTGGGCCGTGAGCTCGTCCAGCCCCCTAAGCAATAAAAAAAAACCTAATTTATATCATTAGCCGGTTCTTATGTAAACTTAAACACATATTTTGGTTCAAGGCCGACGTCTAATCCTAGTAAAGGCCAAGAGTCGTGCAAATATTTATTTGAATTCATTAAATGATCATCTAAGTACTTTTTCGTCACATATGCACAGCACGTGGCAATGTAAATAAATTATTAACAGGCTCTCAGTTAGATAAAAATCAACCTAAAATTGACAGGACACTACGCAAGCTCGCCAATACTTAGTCTGGCCATAAATACTGTTACAATCCTAAATAAACAAAATATTACATTTGAATTTGGAATTTGTAATTTTTATATGATTGCTCATTGAGTTTTCTCATTTTGGCGCCAATACATTGTACAATATTTTGCGATATTAAAATGGAGTGGGGTGATAAAGAGAACCGAATCGCTGTAATTGCATTACACAAAGTAGGTATGGAGCCAAATGCAATTTTAAAACTCTCCATACGCTTGGTATTAGTAAAATGTTTGTGTACCGAGCTATTAATAGATGCAATGAGTCCTCCTCTGTTTGTGACAGAAAAAGATCTGGCCGTTCACGTAGTGTTCGTACGGAAATGGTGATCAAAGCAGTAAGGGAAAGAATTCGAAGAAATCACCTAGTACCTAGAACCATGTCGCGTATTTTAAAAGATGATTTAGGACTTGCAGCCTATAAGAGACGTACTGGTCATTTCTTAACTGATAATTTAAAAGAGAATAGGGTGGCAAAATCGAAACAACTACTGAAGCGGTACGCAAAGGGAGGTCATAGAAAAATTTTGTTTACGGATGAGAAATTTTTTACAATTGAGCAACATTTTAACAAACAAAATGACCGGATTTATGCTCAAAGCTCTAATGAAGCTTCCCAATTAGTGGACAGAGTGCAACGTGGGCACTATCCGACTTCAGTGATGGTTTGGTGGGGTATTAGCTATGAAGGAGTGACTGGGCCATACTTTTGTGAAAAATGTATCAAAACACCGACACAAGTGTATCAAGATACCATTCTTGAGAAGGTAATGAAGCCCCTTAACAACACCATGTTCAATAATCAAGAATGATCCTTCCAGCAAGACTCGGCGCCAGGTCATAACGTTCGGTCTACGCAGTCTTGGTTGGAAACGAACGTTTCGGACTTCATCAGAGCTGAAGACTGGCCGTCGTCTAGTCCCGATCTTAATGAGCTGGATTATGATTTATGGTCAGTTTTAGAGAGTACGGCTTGCTCTAAACGCCATGATAATTTGGAGCCCCTAAAACAATCCGTAAGATTGGCAGTGAACATTTTTCCCATGGAAAGAGTGCGTGCTTCTATTGATAACTGGCCTCAACTTTTAAAGGACTCTATTGCAGTCAATGCAGTAATAAATGTTATTTGCCATAGTTTTTTTTTGTTTTCCTTTGTAACAGTATTTATGGCCAGACTAAGTAATGGATGTTCGAAAGGGTATTTATATATATTTTGCCGGTTTAAGATAGCGCGCAATTTTTAAGGGTCATCGTTCTTACAGATACAAATATAATATCTATACGTATGTAACCTCTATACGATTTATCTTAAAAGCGGTTAATATGTTATAAAGATGACATAAATGTAATTTTGAATAATGAAACATTAGAAGAAGGAACATTATGAATAATAAAGCATTTTTGAATATTGAAATATAAAAAGCATAAAAAGTGGTGAAGCAATAGCTTTAAATGTTGTTTCTCTTTATAGAGCAACTCAATTTGTGCTATAGTTTTACTTGGCTAAGCTTTATTTTGATGTAAATAAAATAATACATTATATGTATATACCATGTACATGTTGCTCACATAGCCCGTAAGATTAGCAAGCTGAAGTGGCAGTGGGCAGGTCACATAGCGCTAAGATCGGACGGCCGATGGGGCAGAAAGATCCTCGAGTGGAGACCACGTATTAGCAAACGCAGCGTGGGACGGCCACCTACCAGATGGACCGACGACCTGGTGAAAATTGCTGGGTCACGTTAGATGCAGGTGGCAACCAACCGCCCGCACTGGACATCAGTTGGAGAGGCCTGTGTTCAGCAGTGGACAGTGGACAGGCTGAGATGATGATGATGTATATACCATATTTTAAATCGGAAACGCTGAACATGCTTGGGAGAGGACTTTGCTGAACATCAAGGACTTGTTTAATTAAACTACTTATATTCATTTGCAGCGCCCGTCAATTAATACTGTAGGGCCACACGTCATTACGGATCCTCCCGATCCATTAACGGTGCCTTTAGGTACCACAAGCACCGGTCACCGTCTTCGCCGAACACGCGCTTGCGACGAAGGGCTCGACGAGTAAATTAACCCACAGACACAGCCCACTGAGTTTCTCGTCGGATCTTTTCAGTGGGTCGCGTTTCCGATCCGGTGGTAGATTCTGCGAAGCACTGCTCTTGTTGGGCCAGTGTTAGCAACACTCCCGGTTTGAGCCGTGATCTCACCTACATGTGCT